TACAAAAACTGTATATAATTTAACTTAATCTGGTGACAAAGATGGTAAGATCTTTTACAGGCTCATTGATGATTGTAGCTTGATTTCAGTGTTCATGGTTTTGCTGTATTTCACTTGCTCTGAGCCCAGATGACAACCTTTTTATTTCTCTATCATGGTTTTTGTTAAAAAAAGATCACAGGGAGCTCATCCAAGCTCTGCTGGGAGGAGATGGTGTGACATCCGGTGTACTGGGAGTTCTTGCCTCCATGCTGCTAAACAGCTTGGTATTGCTTTGTGGTTTCTTCTTGATTTCAAGTTATGAGTTACTGATATTTTAAAATAGATTTCTAAGGTTAATGGAAAGGAATTAAATGTCAATAGCTTGTTACAGGGAAAAGAAGGGCATCTGTATTCCATGAAGGCAGAAACTGCTGACGTGGTTTGTTTTTTGTGTATATACACATTTTTGTCCTTTAAATGTTAGTTGTTTTCATAAAGGTAATTTACAATATTCTGTAAGATTCTAGTATGATTTGATTAAATTTTGATAGACTTTTCTAGTTTTCTTGAGTACTACCAAATAAAACTCTTTTAATCAAGTTTAGTTAAAATAAATCCATTAGCATAGACACAAGTGTGAAGTAGCTACAGTGAATTTTGGCCAATAATTTTTATGCATCTACTGATCTTCAGTTCTCTTGCTAAAAAAAAAATCTTGCTAGGCACAGTCTCTGCCTTTGTGGGTCAGATGGTACAGTAACACTTGGGATACAGTATCCTGTTACCTTCAAACTTTGTATTGAAAAGGAAATCAAATCTGTCACTTAGTAAGCCTGTAATGATACATTCAGGATCAGTACTGTAAGCAGGGATTGCTCTCTCAAAAACAACCCCCCTTCTATGTGAGATTTACCCATAGTAACTGAATTTACCAGTTGCTTTTACATCAAACTCTGGATAAAGGCAATTCAAAATGCTTTTCTCCACTCTAAAACAAGGAATTAAGTAATTTATAGTGAATATATAAATCCACTATAAATGCCAGAGCTATATGCAGGATCATATGGTATTTTGGTCTAATTCTGAAGTTTCACTTTGTTTTTTACAACTGAGAATGCACAATCAAAAGTTGACAGTTTCATTTGGGGAAGTGTGGTCAGGTGTTCAAAGGCAGCGCCAGACGTGCTCAGGGCAGTGATTTTTGTTACTGTTTAGAGCACCATGAACACGGCCAGAGGAGCGGCCCTGCAGGTAAGGCAGCCCCAGGAGCACAGAACGCCCTATTTCCCTTCTGCCCCGAGGCCAGCAGTGC